CTGTGAAGATGGTACTCAATCAGTATCCAACAATAACCGGAGGGCAAGTTCCTCAAACTCAAAAGAAGATTGCATGGATCAAAACCGAAGCCCAACTAGGACTTTATTGATGCAATTGATAGAATGAATATTACAATGTCAAAAATTGCATCTGCACTTACAGTGGAGACTGAGATGGATTTCTTAAACCATTTACGGAAGGAAGTTATGGACTTGGAAGGGTATGACATCCAAGTAGGGGTGTTCACGGGTCGGGTTGGGTCGGTTTATTGGGATTTTCCCAACCGACCCGACCTGGTCAGGTTACCTAAGGTGGGAATGAAACCGACGGCCAAACCGACCTGGTCGGTTTGAGTCGGGTTGAGTCGGTTTTGGTCGGTTTCGGTTTTGCTCATGTACAAAGCCGAATAAAATCTGAATTAGTTGATAATTTGATATTCAAGAGTCCAAGATAAATCTAAATTTAATTCAGGTAAAGAATACAAGTATCATCACTGAAAACTGAAGTTTTTATTTTTAAGATATTTTCTAGAAATATATTTAAAACTGAAATATGTATTTTAAAATATATATATATATAAACAAAAATATACATACAAATAAAGTATATTGGAAATTTGGAATATATATTTTCTAGAAATATATATCTCATATATTTCAGAATATATATTTTTTAGATATAAATTTTTTCAGATATTTCGGTTTTTATGTAAAACTGAAATATCTTTATTTAAATTAAAACTGAAATATATACTTAAAATTTTAAATAGATTAGGTTTTTCATACAAAACTGAAGTTTTTGTGCAAATATATCATCATTAATTGGATTTTTTTCAAAGCTTAAACTTAAACAAAACACAAATAAAATATATCAACTTGTAACATGCATTAAATTAAAAAATAAATAAATAAATACTAACCTTTGAATGACTGAAGTTGAGACTTTGAGAATGAGACTTGAKCAGTTGAGCTTGADGGAATGAGGGGGGCGGACCAACCAAGTTAGAGAATAGAAGATTTTAAGAGAAGACAAAAGTGGTCAATAAAATAAAAAATTAGAAACCTTCTAAATTCTAATCTAGGTAAAAAACTAAAAAAGGACACCTAATTGAATTCTAATTGTAATTGCCTAGTGGGCCTTCTAGAGTTCTAATTCTAGTAGAAGTCTAGAAGTAGAAGACTAGTAGGAATTAGGAAACTACTCAAACTAGGAAGTAGGAACTACCAAACTAGTACAATACTAGTTCGGTTCGGGTCGGGTTGATTTCGGTTTTCACGCAAGAAAAGCGAAACCGACCCAACATATTGGTTTATGTATGAGCCCAACCCGAAACCGACCGGTACGGATGAAAACCCGGCCAACTCGGGTTGGGTCGATCCGGGTTGGTCGGTTTGGTCGGGTTGGGCATTCTTATGAACAGCCCTATATCCAAGTCCGGAACATGAGAAGGAAGCAAAAATTTTCCTTGCGAGGGACAAGCCATTTAGGGCTTAGATATTCCTATCCATCATATCTAAGATGACTAGTTTTGGTGGAATGCAGTAGTACCTCTTCTCTTATTATGAAGTTTAGACAATGGAGCTTTGACACTTCTACCCTTTTTTGTTATAACCAAAATTAGGTTGATGCACTTGCTGATAAAACATATTAACTAGTTGGTGGCAGCTATAGTAGCTTTTAACACTTCTTTTACTACTTACTTCTATACTGATACTTTTGACTTATTGATATAATGGAACTTTTTGTTATAACTCTTTGTTTCCAGTATGTCATCATTTGTCTGTTTCTTTGAAACATATTCACATAAGCTTATCACAATGATGTGGTGTGTAGGATGAAAAAATCCTATGTTGTGTTCAAGGGGAGAAAGCCAGGTGTGTATGACTCATGGCCCGAGTGTCAAAAGCAAATTGCTGGATTTAGGGGGAATTCTTATTGTTCATATAACAGTCGAGAAGAAGTTGAAGATGTATACTATAAGTATTGTGAAGTACAACTGGATACAACATATTCCTCTAAGAAGTTGGTTGTAGAGCCATCCACATTAACAATTAGGCCATATATGATAGGAGGCATCATTGGATTCTTCACTATGATTGTGGCATGGGGGTTGTTTAATTAGCCAAATCATTTGGAAGGTTCTCTCTCTCTCTCTATATATATATATATAGATAGATAGATAGATAGATAGATAGAGAGAGAGAGAGAGAGAGAGAGAGAGAGAGAGAAAGAGAGAGGGAGATGTGTGAGGGAAAGAGAGAGATAGGGATGGTTCAAATGCAACTCAACTAAACACTAGGTGTGTGTGTGTGGTTGTTGTCCTCTGTTATGGTCATGGGTTTGTTTTCATGTATTCCTTTTTATCATATTATTATTAGCAGGTCACTTATATTGAGCATGAACCACATTTTAGGATCACTTATCATTATCATTATCAGATCTGATTTTATCATCTGTTATGGTTCACTTATAGTAGGAACCACATTTCATCACTTGTTTTGATGTATTCATTATCGGATCAGATAAACTGATCTCATCACTTATATTTATTAGGTCTCATTGTTTGAAGGCTGACATGACATTCAATGATTTGTGAATGAATTGATTAGGAAATGTGAATGCAAACTATTATCAAGTATCATTGTTTGAAGGCTGACGGGTACCTTCAATGAAATGTGAATGGATTGACTAGGAAATGTGGATGGATTGTTTAGGGCGTGTTAGAATATCTCATGTATGAATGAAATGTGAATGGATTGAATAGGAATGGGAATGAGATACAATAGAGACATGGAGTGATATAGTTATCATTCTCATATTTGTTAACAGATGAACAGATATATGGACTAATATTCAACAAAATATGGGTCTCCCCATATAGTCTACATCATCTTCATTTGAGGGAGATCCAACCCATGTTTCGAAAGTACATTCGTTAACAAATGAACATATATATGGGCTGATATTCAACGAAATTGTTTCCTTTTATACTAACAAATAGAAGAAAAACTATGGACTTCACTCTACTAAAATGCAACCACATGCATACATCTTTTAGAGCTTGAAGGGAGAGTTTGTTTGCTTTGTCATTTCATCAGTTAGATGCTGAGAAGAGGAATTGGCTACAATGTGGTGAGAATGAAGTAGATACTGAGAAGAGGAATTGTGAAGATGGCACGACAGCAAAGCCTGAACAATGAATTATGGGGTGAAGACCCATAATTCATAAGAATGAATGGTCCAGATTTTACTGAACATAGACTGGTGGTTATTTGACCGAAAAGCGCACTAGGTAGTTAGAGCATTTATGTTTGCTCTCATAGTTTGCATCGATTTCAAACAAACACCAACAAATTTGTGCCCTGATTATATAAATTCCAAACAAACAAGAAGAGTGCAAAAACCATACTAACTCGTGAATTGACTTTGCACTCATGAACCAAGATGAGACAAAAAATGCATGGTACATATTTGCATTTGCATTGGAAACAAATGCAGCCTTAGGGGTGTTCTTTTTTTTTTGTGCCCTGATTTATATAAATTCCAAACAAACAAGAAGAGTGCAAAAACCATACTAACTCGTGAACCGACTTTGCACTCATGAACTGGGATGAGACAAAAAATGCATGGTACATATTTGCATTTGCATTGGAAACAAATGCAACCTTAGGGGGTGTTCTTTTTTTTGTATTTGAGAGGGGGAAAGTTGGTCAATGGGATTTTGGTTCCCATTGACCAAGAACCCTAGGGCTGTTCCTAAGAAGACTCAACCCGACCAACCGACCAAACCGACCAATCCAGACTTACCCAACCTGAATCGGCCGGATTTTCTTCAGCACCGGTCGGTTTCAGGTTGTAAAAAATCATAAACTGATGGTTCAGGTCGGTTTCGGTTTTCATATGTGAAAATTGAAACCGACCCGAACCGAACCGACTTAGTAGTTAGTAGTTAGTTCCTAGCTAGTATTTACAACCTACTTAGTTCCTACTTAACTAAGTTGTCTCTATCATAGTTACAACCTAACTTTATTTCTAATCTTCTAGTTAGGAATGACATTAATGACAAGTATTGTAAAACAACTCGACAAGGAATTTTTTTGGAAAAGTTTAAAGAAAAGAATCAAAGGATCTTAGTTTTTATGGTCTTTTACACCAAATAGGCAACCAGTTACAATTAGAATTAGGTGTCATTTTTTACTTAGATTAGAAGGTTTCTTGAAATATACAAATTTCAGTCTTCTTTCTCTAATACAGTTTGACTTTCTATTTTCTTGATAACTTCTATTCTAACTTGGTCTGCCCCGTACCAATTTCAGTTTTCTTTCTCTAATATAATTAGGTGTCCTTTTTTAAATCAAATTTCAATCTTCTTTCTCCAATCTAACAATTTATTACCATGGTTGAACTTAGAGTCGAAACCGATCCAATTTGACTTAAACCGACCAGGTCGGTTTTGCTTAACACAGGGTTGGTTTCGGTTTCAATTTCAGGTAACCCGACCAGGTCGGGTTGGTTGAAAAAATCTCAGTAAACCGACCCAAACCCGACTTGTGAACAGCCCTAAAGAACCCTATGTTTTTTTTTTTTTTTCAGATTTATGTGGGGATCGGGTAAGTAATATCCATCTCTAAGGTGGGTAAATAACTTTTCCACCTAAGGGAAAAATTGTCAACACTTGAATGTGACAAAAATGCCCCTTTTATAAATAGAATTTTATGATTAAAATGGTCATTACATTATTTGCTTAGAAAATAAAAGAATATAGGTAAAAGACACTTGGATAAATGTTTTCAAGAAAAAACTTATCCAAATAATTGACTTATCGAAAAGCGAGGCCTTGGAAAAAAAAAAAAAAGAGAATATGGAGGGAACTAACAACTAACAATCAGTTCGTAACTTCTTAAACAGGCTGTATTAGGAGAAAGGAGCTAAACTGTAAGTATACAGAAACAAAGGGGGTTTTGTCTAATTTATCCTAAAACTTAAAGCATCAGAGAAGTGAGCAGCAATTCTATATTCCGGAAAATTGGAAGAGCCGAAGAGGTGCTTCTTCGAGAGGGAGAGCACTTCTCAATTCCACTTTCTAGGGCTTTGACGGAACAATGGACGCAGCTCAATCCTCTGACACCGTGATGGCGGAGGCGGCTCCGCCCCCTGAGCCGCCTCCAGCTGCCGGAGTTCCCCAACCTGGATTTGATGGTATTCCGATGACTTTGAGTCACGGTGGACGGTTCATACAATACAACATATTCGGCAACATATTCGAGATCACCTCAAAGTACAAGCCTCCAATAATGCCCATCGGCAAGGGAGCATATGGCATCGTATGGTATCGCGTCTCCTCTCCCAATTCCTCTTCATGACCTCTTCAGATTCTCTTAACATAAAAATAGAATGACTACTTTGTCATTATCCATGTATACTTCCTTTCAGCTCGGCCTTGAATTCAGAGACAAACGAGCAAGTTGCAATTAAGAAGATTGCGAATGCATTTGATAATAGAATTGATGGTAAGAGGACTCTACGCGAGATAAAGCTCCTCCGCCACATGGATCATGAAAACGTTAGTGAGTGATTACTACTATTTGTTCTTTTTTTCCTTCTTGCTATCACATTGTTCAAGATTTTGAATTTTGATTTGATTGAGACAAAACTAACTATATTTATAGAGAAATTTCCTTGCTATGTAATTATGAATCCCTAATATTTGAAATCTACTATAGGTGTTTTGCTAATCTGTGGTTGTTCTCTCATTTCTCCTTTTTTTTTTTTTTCCTTTCAAGGGTTATCCTTCATTTATCTTAATCAAATATTACATTAAACATAACGCATTTAAAGGATAGGATATGAATACAGAGAAATGTAAGCCTTCTATTTCAAACGCCACCTAAGTTTTCGTAACAGTCTTTATCTTTGCACTTCATTTTGTAACAATAATTGACTAAATTTCTTTCTCTAATGTTTCTTAAATACTCTTTATACTCCTTAAATTTAGATACAATCTTCTGCTCCTCTTGTTCTACTACTATCAATGTGCTTGTTAGGACTGCAAATGGAAAGGATAGAATGGGCTATAAAGTAGATCCGAGTTTGGTTTGTTTATATCTGATTCAAATTGAATCTTTTCTGTCAGATTTATTTTGGATTCAAATATTGTATATTACAAACAAAATATGATGAAAATAAATTTTGTGAAACTTTAACCAATAAACACAACATTCAAACTGATGAGGACGGATTTGGCCCTCCAATAACCTCATGACACATGGCATCCCGAAACAGCTGGATGACACTCAGATGCCACCTAAGCGATGATTTGGAGTCCTAGATCGTAGTTCATCTTCGCCCCGACCTAGCTACCTGCCTTTATCGCTGACCTGGCGACCTCGACCACAACTTAGGTCGGCTTGCAGCACCTCGTCCAGGGCCAACCTGTAGCACCTCGTCACCGGCCGAAGTGACCTTGACACATGGCGCGACCTCTCTCGAGGGCTTGCCGACCTAACTGAGGACTAGGCGGTGACCTGCGAGATGTGCTCGCCGACAAATTCGGCATGCATACCCCGGCACTCCCAGGTTTCTCTGAAATTGGCCCGTGTACCGAATGTTCTGGAGGATGGTCAACGTGCACAACGGTTACCTCCGAGGATTTCGGACTGGTAAGGCATGACCTCTCGGAAATCTCAGATGCGGTGCATGAAGCCTACGCCAAACAATGCCTATATAAAGGCACCAACCCCAATGACACAGGGTACGTGCGATATATTTGCTCACTAGCTTACTAGCATACAAACTTTTAGCTCACACAACCCAGTACTGACTTAAGCATCGGTGCGACCTTGCCAGGTTAGCCACCCCGGGTTCTCTAATCCTCTGTCTTGCAGCTTGGTCCAACTCGCTACACGACTAAGGTCCAGGTCATCTTCCAGCAAGGAGCTTCCAGATCACGCATCATCAATTGGCGCCGTCTGTGGGAAACGCTACAAGAAGTTAAGTTCTCACCTTCTAAAAAGCTAAGTCCTCATCTTCCAGAAAGCTAAGATCTCGCCTTCTAAAAATTTAAGTTTTCACTCTCTAATTTTCATTTTTTTTGAACTAAAAAGCATTTTTGAGCAGCACCAACATCCATAACGAATATCAATTACTGGGAGGCAAGAACATTTGTGATGAACCTTGAGAACTCCCCTGTGACAATCAGACAAATTCAGGCCGAACCTAGCATTCCTAGTGCCCCAAATAAATATACCGCTACCGCATGTGAACGCCCCTCTCCTCGCGGTAGAGCTATCAGCAGTTCCCACTGGGATTGAAGCGTGGAAATTCTATGAGATGTGAAGCATGAGTTTCCAGATCTGAGCATGGGAGAAGACCGATGTAGATAGCAGCAAAATGATCTCAACTCATCCTCAATAGCAATAAGCCAGGACAAGGCCTCATCAGCCCCGTTTCGCGAGGTCGCCTCCACAAGTCAAGCTCTTTGTGGCTCCCACAGGAGCCGGCGGCCAACGGATTGCATGGACGCCCTTGCAGGTCAAGCCTTCCAAGGTTCCCGTGCGAGCTGGCGACCTAAAGTCAGTAGTGCTACCCCCGCAGGTCGAGCTCTTAGTGGCTTCTTATAGGAGTGGATGACCGGCGTCACTATGAGGCTGATGTAGTGCAACCGTGGCCCCAAACTGCCGACTCTCGCCGAAAACAACTTTATGTATCAACAGCCCTCACAAGGGGGGGTAGAACATGTACGTTGTGGTCTCGCAAGCACTCACCTAGGAAGATAATCCCATGGGGTGACGTAGAAGCAACCATATGAGAAGTTACTACAGAATGACCACCCGCTTAGGCGGAGAGGTCAGGCCGCATGTCGGCTAAATAATATTATCGGGAGTGGACTATGAGTCGCTACCAGAGCCCAAGGGCCACAACGCCAAACAAATAGTGACCTTGGCGCTAAATATGAACAAGACTCAGTCGCCTCTTCGGCATGGGCAACTTATGACCCAATCGCCTCTTCGGCATGGGCAACATAAGACCCAGTCGCCTCTTCGGCATGGGCGGAATAAAAAAGCAGTTCGCATTCAGCCCCATCGGTGTGCAGACAGGTCGGGTACATACCGTTCCGCCTCAGCCTCATCGGTGTTTAGAAGAAAGAAAAAGAAAGACAGAAAAAGAAGCGAAGGAAGGAAGACTAATTTAGCACAAGAAAGAGAAACAAAGGAAAGACTAGACCATGAAGACGCAAACTTGGCCGATCTCTTCACAGTAGACCTCCACCTCGGTTTCAAGCTCCGCATCGAATTTGCTAGCTACTTTTTTGAAAACCAGCTTGAGGGACACTGCGTCGAAGTCTACCTAGGTGGAGCAACCTGATAAAGCAGTCACACAAAACTCCTTGAGGACGACATGATGAGCTTTGCTCTTGAGGTACTTAGTCAGATTGCAAAACCCCTTGATGGTCGCATCCCTAATAAGGTAGATGTCCTTGGGGTATCTGTTCCACCTCTCCTTGAGCGGATGAATTTGCTCTTGTGCCCCAATACTACGAGGTCCTGCGTAAGGTTGCAAACACTTGGACTCTTCTGACCTGAGGAGCAAATTGGATTGACGCCAACGACTACGAGCTCATCAAACAGTCATTCCGGGCCAAAGGAACAATCTACTCCCTTCGCCGAGTTGCCTTAAGCTCGGGAGTGGGGGGCAATTGATGAGGGCGGATTTGGCCCTCCAACAACCTCATGACACATGGCATCCCGAAACAGCTGGATGACACCCAGATGCCACCTAAGCATTGATTTGGAGTCCTAGATCGTAGTTCGTCTTCGCCCCGACCTGGCTACCTGCCTTTATCGCTGACCTGGCGACCTCGACCACAACTTAGGTCGGCTTGCAGCACCTCGTCCAGGGCCAACCTATAGCACCTCGTCACCGACTGAAGTGACCTTGACGCATGGCGCGACCTCTCTCGAGGGCTTGCCGACCTAATTGAGGACCAGGCGGTGACCTGCGAGATGTGCTCGCCGACAAATTCAGCATGCATACTCGACACTCCTAGGTTTCTCTGAAGTTGGCCCGTGTACTGAATGCTTCGGAGGATGGTCAACATGCACAGCGGTTACCTCTGAGGATTTCGGACCGATAAGGCACGACCTCTCGGAAATCTCAGATGCGGTGCGTGAAGCCTACGCCAAACAATGCCTATATAAAGGCACCAACCCCAATGACACAGGGTATGCGCGATTATTTGCTCACTAGCTTACTAGCATACAAACTTTTAGCTCGCTCAACCTAGTATTGACTTAAGCATCGGAGCGACCTTGTCGGGTTAGCTACCCCAGGTTCTCTAATCCTCTGTCTTGCAGCTTGGTCCATCTCGCTACATGACTAAGGTCCAGGTCATCTTCCAGCTAGGAGCTTCTAGATCGCGCATCATCACAAACCATCTTTACTAATAGATAGAATATAAATTTTAAGTATACATAAGCATATACATTTAAATCGAATCAAAACAGATAGGGGTGGATTTGTGTTGGATCCAATTATAAACATATTGAATTCGGATCACCCTTAACGGGATCAAATTCAAATTTGAATTCAGATAAATGGACACCATTTGCAGCTCTAGTGCTTGTGTCACCCTTTCTTATCATAATAAACACTTATGGTATCTTCATATTTGAATGTCTTGTCCTTCACCAAATAAAATGAACCTCTCCTTGGTCAATTCCTAGATCTTCAACACCCTCTACAATCCTACTGTTCCCCACATTCTCATCTCTCTATTTCCACAATAATTAATTAATGATTTACACTAATTTCACAAAACCTTAGGATGTCTATGTCAGTGGTTTTAAGGCTTGTGTCTCACCAAGTCCCAGGAGTAGCCCCTTTGAAAAGGTGCAAGCTTGGTACACCTTAGTTAAATTTTGCAAATTTTAAAGCATGTTGGCTTAGCCCATTGAGCAAGCCCAAACAAGTCCATGTTCGGATTCTAACTTTCAAGTCCTACTTCTAATTCCCATGTTTATTCAAACATCAAACAAAAATTCGAAACTAGGACAAACTATAACTCCCTAATTCTACTAAACCGATGTTTTTAAAATTGTGCGATTCACGATTTAAATCATAAGATTCATATTGAATCAGCCCCAAAACAATTCAAATCACATGTACTAATTGGTCTTTAATTAGTCGTGTGATTTATGTTCTAATTGTAAATCATGATTTGGAACCGATTTAAACGATTGGAACTGAAAACATAATTTAAGACAAAAGACCATTTGATTCTCCACTTTTTAAAAGCTGCACATTTACATCAAGGGGCAGTATTGCCATTTTGTTTTTATAACTTAAATAGCCTCTTTAGTCAATTGAAAGAGGCTTACTATCGATGGAAATTCTTGGGCGGGAGACTGGAAGAGACGGAACCTTCATCCATTGAAGCTCCAACCCTTCTCTCCTTGTTTGCATGATAGGTAACAGTTTTTCTTTTATTTTTTCCCTGATTTCTGTTATCTTTTCTGATTTCTCTTCTTCTTCTTATTCTTCTGACACAAAACAGGGGCTCCATCC